GAGCTCCTGAGAGCGACCCATTCTCTCACAAATGTTTGTAGAAGCGTCTGCATGTCTAGGTGCTTGATGTTATACACCTGTGGCCATGGAGGTGATTGGAACACCTGAGTCCAATCATTTGGAGAGGTGTCCCAATACTTTTGGCAATATAGTGTATGCACAATCTCTACATTTATTTCTGTTAACTTCTGTACCTAAAGCTGAATACAAGGATACAACCTTTTCTTGAAGTTTGGACAGAGTAAGAAGTGTAAAAACACCTTTCAGATTTTATGGCTGCTTGTGTCACCACTGGGGAGATTCTACCCGTTTATCCTGGTGAACAATGTCTGAAAGAGATAGGAAATCAAAAATTGTCATAGGAACAAGGCGCTAGGGGAAATCTTCCAATGGGTGACAATTGTCCAAGAGGGAATTTCTGCAACCTTTGCAGAGATTTCCTCTTACTTCCTGTTGTCTCTCTAGAATAGGAAGTCAATCTGTTTAGAATGAACGGGAGAATCAAGTAATTTCTCTTGTTCAGCCCAGAGAACTCTAACTGTGTATGACCAGCTTTAGAGGGAGACTACAAATTGCAACCTTTAGGCCCCGTTCCCACTGCGCGATATGCAAATCGTGCGATTTGCCGCGCGATATCGCGCAAATGCTTGCATTGATCAAGCTTGAATCGCGGATAAATCCGCCCAAAAAGGGTCCTGCTGTAGCGACACACGACCCGCGACAGCAGGACCCTTTGCCCCATTGAGAAGCATTGGGAAGCGATATCGCGCGGTAATTTGCCGCGATATCGCGGGAATTACCGCGCGATAAATCGCTAAGTGTGAACGGGGCTTAATATTTACTTTACTAAAGATTTCCTTTAAAGGAAAGAAAATACCAACATTTATTTGGACAAACACCCAAATAAAATGAGCTACATTGTGCTGCAGACTCCTTCATGCTTTAGAAGGAAAGATTAAAGAATAGATCAAAGACTACAGTAAACATAATTTATTATCTCCCCTTTTAAAAGGCCTGTTCACACGTGTGCGGACTATTGTGCAGTGTAGCCCATTGGGTCCATTTATTAAGAGTTTGCAGAGTTTGTTCTGTGCATGTATAGGTGGAAGGTAAAATTCTGAAAACACCACATTATTGCCACTAGATGGGGCTGAGGGGGGGAGGGGTGGTATTTAAATCTACCCCCCGACTTCATCTAATCTAAATACTGGTCTTAATGCTCTCTCTCCTGGCAGCTGACGCTCTGCTGCCCAATGTTCCATGTAGTGGGTGGCCCCTCACTAACCTCTAGTACAGCGCAGGACTGCTGATCCTTCATTATACAGGATTACCTCAAGAGAGCTGCAACTAGCCAGGAAGTACGGGAAGCTGCTTTAGGGGACTGGAAATACAGAGGCAGAAGTGAGGAATAATATAAGAACTCCAGGCACAATTTTTATTAGCCCTTGCAGATCTGGCCCCCTCTTCCTCCCCACTATACTTACCTTTTGGTGAACGCTCCTTCCCCTCTGCCGGTACAGGTGTACTCTCTGTAGCTCATGCTGCCGTGTAGCACAGCACTGCACTATAGATTTCAGAAGCTCTTCTCATTGAGTGCTCGCCATTTGCGAGCGAAAGTTAAAATCTATAGCGTAGGGCTGTGCTACATGGCAATACGAGGTACAGATAGTACACCCGTACCGGTGGAAGGGAATGAGCGTTCATCCTTTTACTGCTCGTTTTTGCCTAGGGCAAAAAAAAAAGTTTCTCACCCGAACCAGCAGCATTGCTCCGCTGCAGTGATGGTATGTCCCTCAGGATCTTCAAATCCTATACAATGTATGGGATGTGATGACTCACAGGCCCTTAAACCGCTGCAGCATAGACAGATGCTGCAGAGACCAGCCGGCCAGCTCCAAGGATCAGGCGAGTGTAACATTTTCTTTTGACCCTAGGTAAAAGGTGCACCTAACCCTTGCAGTGCAGAGCTAACCCCACTGCAAGGGTTAATAAAATTTGTGCCTGGAGCTTTTCTTTAAAAGTATTTGTACTTATTCCTTTCCCTGCTTGCCAAATGAGCATTTAACCATTTTAATGCAGTGCGAGGGAGGACATTTAAAAGCAGCCTGGAGTTGGAAATGGAACCTTGAAATGTAAGCCTGATTAGTACTTAGGTACTTTTCATCTAGGCATTTCTGTACTCTACCAGTTCACTGCACTTCCTTTTTTCAATAATCTGGTGAAACTATGCCCAAACACAGCCACTGCCGATTCCATATGGTCTCTCAAATACTAAAAGTCTTGGAAGTTTGTATGTAACCAGTAATACCTGAAGCACCACTGATTTCAGGACATGCACTCCCATTGAACCTCTGAGGTGCTCTCTAGGACCACAGAACACCCGAGGATGGTTGTGGTCCACAGAGAGAATGCTTTAAGATTTCAGGGCAACATTGTTAGCCCACAGGAACTTCATTTCTGGCAAGATCAACGGGTAATTTTTTGCATTTGTTAAACAGATATCAGAAAATGCTTTTAATTGTATATTGTACAGACCACAAGGGAGCAAATGAGAGAAGTGGTTGCTGGATAGCACAGTTACCTCACTTATTAGTTTGGCTTGTCTGGAACTGCTCTAAACCATCCGTCATTAAATACTGGACTGCGGTCCGGACACAGACTGAGTGGTGGTTCTGTCGCCAACCTGCACTGGGATATTGCTGGCCTCTGAGGCCGGTGCATCCATTGCCAGCAATAACCCAGCACAGGCCCCCCTCCTCTTCAGTCTTTGGTTGTTAGAACCACTGCCTATAGGGGGGGGGGGGTACAGACAGCTCTGCTGTACTGTACCTGCCCCCCCCCCCCTTTTTTTTTCGGCCCGCCCCCCGC